GTGTATATATATATATATATATATATATATATATATATATATATATATGTATGTATATACATATATATATTATTTAATTATCAGAAAACTTTAAATAACTTATATAAATTTATTACAAGTAATCGAAGAGAGCGATTATCTTTAAAACTGATAGCTTAAAACGTAGCCACATGATATTGTACGGACATTACGAGCGATGGCTCCAGGATGATTATCTTTCGAACAGAGCCCAAGTTTAGTCATCTCTGGATCACAAATCACGACTGTTGCTGTATATATCAGCGTTGCTGCTGATAGAAATGTTTGGATAGCTTTGGCATATGCCGAGTACTGAATCAATCGCCAAACGCATCCGTTTAGCTGAATAATGAATGTTTACGCAGATAATTATCTGAGTGACAATGATTGACCGAATAATGAATATTAATACGGTTGATCGTTCGAATAAATTATTCAAATCGACATCGCAGCCCAACGAATCCTCGAGTAATCATCGATATAAGCGAACGGCTTGCTGCAAACAAAAATGCCTGTTTATTGACCAAAACTGTATCTTCTAAGCAATCGATTATTTTTTTAATCGCCGTTGAAATAATGTAATCACTTCAATATTCGGAAATTTTTTGAAAATCTGAGAAATATGAAGATTCTTAATCTTTAATTATATAAAAAACGCAAAATTATAATTTTAACGTTAAAATGTATAATCATCATTCTTTCTTCAATTTTCATTAATTTTACAGGCGATAAAAACAACAAAATAGAATTGTAAAAAAAACTAATTAACGTAGATATAAACTTGCATTATTTTCGTACTTAAATAATCGTTATTATCGTTCTTATAATCTGAGATGCTAATAAAATTTATTAATATTGCAAAATTCATAAAAATAAAGTTAGCAAATTTAAAATAACTATAATAGAGTATATATGAACATTTATCAACTCTAAAATGAATGCTGGTATTTAAAAAAGCAGTCGGCGATTAAAAAGGACGATTATAAAGTAAAGTATACACAAGAGAATCGTGGCGTATATACAAATGAAGAGAATTAAACAATCTTCTTGTCAGCGCTAATTGATTTAATTGGAGCAGGGATTAGAGAAAATTTCAAATGACGCACTTTTAAGCATCTCTTTCTCTTTCTCTTCTTTTCATTCTTTCTCTCTCTCTCTCTCTCTTTCTCTCTCTCTCTCTCTCTCTCTCTCTCTCTCTCTCTCTCTCTCTCTCTCTCTCTCTCTCTCTCAAATATCCAAAGGGATTCCATTATGAAGCCCTCGATCCTCTTTTCGATTCGAGATAACGCCGTCCTCGTCCGTCTGGAAAAATATTCCGTCGGAAAAGCGGCTTTCCTTTCTTCAGGTTTGGCGCGTCCCGTCGATTACAGGCCGTCGGGGTCTGAAGATATTGTTGGAAGTGAGCTCGTACGATAATTACAGTTTCCCTGGAAACTTTGCGATGCAATTACGAGACGTCATTACGAGTATTTAACCAAGCAGGCTCGGCTATTCCGCCCTTCTTTCCTCTTTCTCCCTCTTCCGGCTTGTACCTGCCTCTCATATGCGCGCGCTTATGCCTGAATTTACGTGAATAATTATTATCGATCGAAAGCGAAAGGGCGTGCTGAACGGGCGACGATTCCTATAAAGCCGCGTGCGGATTGCCAACACCGCTCGATATTAAATGTGGCTGAACCACATAGTAAATTGCATTAATTACATAATATAATATTTCATTAAATTTCTATGGAAACCTTATTTTTATTAGTGGTAGAATTTAATAATGCACAATAATGATCTTTTAAATCAATATTCTCTTAAATGGAATTAGTGTATTATCATTGATAAGCAGTAGTATGAGTTATAAGTACAGCATTGAAAATAGTAAAATCTCATGATAATTAGAAGAATCAATTCATGGTAGTGGGTGATTTTTCAATAATAGATAAAACGAAGAAAATGTGAGTTTTTATTGAATATCAGTGAAACATATATATCTTGTCTACTCACTTATCTTTGATGAAATCTTGTCATTGCTTTGTCACAATGACATATTTACTAATTCAGTTTAAAACAGTATTTACAATTTTGTCCAGAAATACGATCAATCTAGTGGTACAATCATTGCAATTTGATTTCCAATCACGCGAATGCCCTTCTATCATTTATTACAACTCCGAGATTCATTTATAAAGTAAAAATATCAAAAATTCGGTTATACTATATTTTTTTATTAAATAGAAGAATAATAAAGTGCGACAATTGAAGGATTAAAATTTACAAAATCCTGAATATGTACTTGAAATTTCAAACATCAAACCCATTCTTTGTACGGATGTGAATTAATCTTGCAGATAATTTAAAGTCATGCCCTATTGTAAGATGCTTTGTTCAAGAAAAGAAACCTTCATTGACCCATCGGGCAGCGTGAAACAACGAGCTTTTCTTGCATATCATGCGGCGGCAGCATCTTCTTGGCACCGCTTCAGACACCTTTTCACACTCAAGCGTAGCGGTTGCGGTACGATAGTTGTAAATGCACTACCGAGGCATTTAAATCGCCAAGAAACTGGCAATATATTTCCACCGCATATAAAGATATTTTTACGCAATTAATAATTCTTCTTCACTTTTTACAAGAAAATTAATTGCATTGCTATTTAATTACTATTAAATCTTTCCCATTATTTTGATCTGATATTAGCAATATATACGGCTGTATATGATATATACATATGATTAACACACATGACTATTGTTAAAAAAAAAAAAGGAAGAGGAAGGATGAATTGCAGAACGACGTTTTCGCAATGAAAAGGGTTGACTGAGTATAAGTGGGTAGCTGAAAGGAGCAAGAGTCGAAAGAGGAACGAGAAAGAGGCGACCGAGAGCGAGGAGGACGCTCAGGGGGTTGCAAAATCCGAGTGGGGGAATAGGGAGGCAAAGAGAGAAGCTGGTATGGGCAATAGGGGGTAGATAGGGAGCGAACAGAGGACGGCTTGTGCATTTGAAGGAGTTTAGCTTTTCTCGTATCAGATTTCGTTTCCACGAGTGGCGTCGAGTTGAGAGGTCTGTGTTGGCTCCAAAAAAAGTCGCGTGTCATGGAAGAGAAGCCAAACCGGATACTCTTATACCGGCTGTTAATTAAGGGGGTTAAATAGCCGGAAGTCGAGCAGCTGCTCTTCAACAGAAAGAGCATGCCATGCTCGATCGGGAATGGAGTGATAGAAAAGAAGCCTAGAGCATAAGGATTGTCTCTGATCCCGGAGAAACGGGAGAAGAAGGGAACATTGACAAGGAAATGAAACGTTCTCGAGCGGCGTATAAAAAAGGATAGAAAGAGAAAGGAGAGAAACACGGAAGGAAAATGGAAAGGATAGAAAAAAAAGGAAGAGGAAGGATGAATTGCAGAACGACGTTTTCGCAATGAAAAGGGTTGACTGAGTATAAGTGGGTAGCTGAAAGGAGCAAGAGTCGAAAGAGGAACGAGAAAGAGGCGACCGAGAGCGAGGAGGACGCTCAGGGGGTTGCAAAATCCGAGTGGGGGAATAGGGAGGCAAAGAGAGAAGCTGGTATGGGCAATAGGGGGTAGATAGGGAGCGAACAGAGGACGGCTTGTGCATTTGAAGGAGTTTAGCTTTTCTCGTATCAGATTTCGTTTCCACGAGTGGCGTCGAGTTGAGAGGTCTGTGTTGGCTCGGAGAAATGACTCGAGAGCCCGAAACCTTTCCTCTCTCTCTCTCTTTCTCTCTTTCTCTCTCTCTCTCTCTCTCTTCTTACCGTTGACTTCTTTAGCTGCCCTCTCGCAGGCACCCTACTCTGTGCACG